GGGTCTGTACACCCGCTGTGCCCATTATGAGGGGCTCCCACCATCCCTGTGCTGAGTTCCCGGGTCTGTACACCCGCTGTGCCCATTATGAGGAGCTCCCACCATCCCTGTGCTGAGTTCCCGGGTCTGTACACCCGCTGTGCCCATTATGAGGGGTTCCCACCATCCTTGCCTAGGGCAACCAATCAGCTTCTAGCTGCAGTTTGTTAAGCTTTGAACATGAAAGACAGAAGCTGATTGGTTGCTATGGGCAGCTGCTCCAGTTGTGATGAATCCCCCTCTGAATATAATCAGAATGTCCGGGGTGCAGTATCAGTGTCAGCCACAAGGTGGCAGCAGAATTCAATGTAAAGAAACATTTTTGATACATGTAACAAGTGACTGTTGTTGTCTCTTCTGATCTTCCAATAAGTAAAAACAAATCATCCGGAATCTCCGGAAGAGAAAAACATTAAACGCCGAATTCATTTACAGTCCCAACAACTAAAATCTCACATAAGCTTTCCTATGATGTCATTTTCAATTCTCCTTTTATTAAAATGATCTCCTGTGATCCCGCCATGGAGGACCTTGTTCAGACACTTCCTGTTATAGGGTGACAACGCTCTGTCCTTGTTCAGACACTTCCTGTTATAGGGAGACGACGCGCTGTCCTTGTTTAGACACTTCCTGTTACAGGGTGACAACGCTCTGTCCTTGTTCAGGCACTTCCTGTTATAGGGTGACGACGCTCTGTCCTTGTTCAGGTACTTCCTGTTATGGGGTGACAATGCTCTGTCCTTGTTCAGGTACTTCCTGTTATGGAGTGACAACGCTCTGCCCGTGTTTCCCAGTTGTGCTCCGGTGTTGTCCCCTTGTTAGGAGAGCATTTGATGGGGACTACATCACACAGACACGGTCCACTGTTGTCACCATCAGGAAACCCGCCTTGAGAAATGTCGTGCAGCCATCGCTGGAGTGCATGTAGACAGGAAGTGGCTGCAAAGAGGCTGCAGGAGACCAGCAGCGAGACGGAACAAGCGATGAAACATGGAAATAGTTTATAAAACACAATAAGTGTCACCGAGTTACATCTTCATCATTCGCCGTCACCTGTGACTCCCGGGACTTTCACATCGTCCAATCGCCTCGTCCGCTGATGAATGTCCCTCCATTGTCTTCCCTTCCCGGCCCCTTCGGGGTTAACATCCGTCCGGTGGAAACGGGATACGGCGCAATTCTGGGTCCGGGCTCTTAGATCGGTGACCTGGATGCGCGCCGCGGCGGTAAGGGGACGCCGTCTCGCGTTCACGCGGCCGCTGCCAAGGTAACCGGAGCCGACCTGATGCCACCTATCAGTGCGCGCGGCGAGATTGGGGGAAAGCTGAGCCCCCGTCCCGAGGACCCCTCTGTCCTCAGGTACCTCAGGGGGAAGAATAGGCCATTCTCCGCAGCTGGGGAGGCGCCATGGTAACGGGGAGAGGCGCCGGGCGGTCCTTCTTTTTTTTTTTAGCGACTTCTGTGGGCATCGGCGGATCAGTCTCACTCGGGACAGCTGCGCCCGCCGGAACGTCCGCCATGAGGTACCGCTATCTGCGCCTGCTGCTCATCCTGCACTTTACAGACGTGATGGGTGAGTTACATACGTGACTTGTGCGTGTCACCGCGTGCACCGGACTGGTCTGCACTTGTGTGGAGTCTCGCCATAGTGCGTCCGGCGTCTCGTCTCTCTTATTTGTTGTCAATCTGTTTCTTCCCTGGAGATCCTGCCGGTGACAACACTTCCTGTTGCAGGGTGACAACGCTAAGCCTCCTCCTGGTAATCACCAGCAGTGTTGTCAGCCTGCCATGTGCTCCTTTAGCTGGTCATTGGGCTGCCCGTCTGATAGACCTGATTGGCAACCCGAAGGAGCGCCGCACACCACGGGCTGA